GTGTGCCGGCAGAGGACGGGCAGAGCCATGGGTGTGCGTGGCCGTCGTGGTAGGGCGGGGAGAAGGATGAATCTGGCAGGGTCCCAGCATGCGAGCTGGGAACAGCTGCTTTCACCCTTCTCCAGGGCTGCTGCCGAGTGCCGTACGTCGGCCCTGCCGTAGCTGATGAGGGCCGTGACTCCTGGCAGGGGAGGGCATGCGTGGAAATGAGCCCGTCAATCGCTCTTGCAGCCCGTCTGCGTTTCCTCAGCCTTGGCTGGGCCGCAGCTCCCCCCAGCCCTGACGGCTTTGATAAATGTCGCTGTCGTGCGCTCACTATTACTCACGTTAATCCCAGCGTTGCTTCGCAGGCTGCAGCTCAAACTGAGCGGGGAGGCAGCTTGTCCGTGCGTCTGCAGCGAGGCCGACCTGGCTCTCGGCTCGTACCGGAGCTGGATGTAGAAAGGCTCTCAGGGAGTTATAAAACTAAAAGCCGCCTCTTGTTTTAGGAGAGCGTGAAGGTGCTGCGGCTGACGCTGCCGAATGACCTCCCAGGCGACAGGCACGAGCAGGCGAAGCAGAAGGTCAGTCTGCCCGCGGCTCGGTTCGGAGTTGAAAATACAAGTTTGTGGGTTAACTTAGGGAGGGAGGAGCAGGCGTTTTGTGGAGGATCAGTCGCTTTGTGCTTCGTGAACTAGAAAACTCGCCTCCTGCTCTGTTAAACGCTTCGGTGCTGGTTCCCGAGGCCGTGCTCAGCGCCGTGTTCCTCTGTGAAAGTGCCTGATGCTCATTTGACTGGAGCCGGGTGAACCGTTCCAGCCAGTCTCGCCTCTCTGACAGCCCTGCTGCTTCTGTCTCTTGCAGCCGGTGGGAAAAGCCTTCGCCATGGTGGCCGACAGGTCCAGCAACGGTCACTCCCTGGCCTCTGAATGCGTGAAATCCAATGACGGCGATGAGGAGATCATCAAGGTACAGTCCCTGGCTCCCCAGCTTTGTTTAAAAACTGGGGCTGGAGACAAGGTGTTGTCTGAAGCTACACCAGCAAAACGCTCCCTGGTGTAGCCCCTCACCGGGTGGGCCGGAGGCTTGGTGCAGCTCTGCCAGCACTCGACTTGCCCAGCGCTGGGGGGATGCAGCCTGCACCTGGGGCAGCAGCCGTGGGTCTGTGGGCTGGGGGTCACACAGGAGGAGGAGCAGCTTCACAAAAAGCTGGGGAAGGTTAACTGCAAAGGGGAGACCTGCGGACAGCGCGGTTCGGGAAGCGGTGGGATCCGGTGGAGTCGGGACGGTCTGACCTGCTGCCACCGTCTCTCCTGGGCAGGTTTATCTCAAGGGGCGAGCAGAGGGCAGCGTCAGCCACGAGGAGCACGTCAGCCAGCTGAAAAGCGAAGTTCGTTACATCCAAGAGGTAGTTAACGTCTGCGAGGGGCTCTGGCTTGTGTGCCGCTGCCTGAACCCACGGGGGCTTGCGGCGAGGGTCCGGGCGCTCTGCTTTCCCCAGGGGTGTCCCGCGGGGGTTTCACTCGAGCGGGCGGCGATGCCCGCGCTGGCTGCGGCACTCGAGCCCCGGCTGAGCCCTGGCCACTCTGGCAAACTGGCAGCGGAGCTAAGCTCTCCAGTTTGTTGACTTGCCTGTACAGGGCAGTAGTCTAATCAAGCGCCATAAATTAATTCAGCCTGACTAATTGCTCTGCTATATGGACTGAATTTGAAGAGAATTGCGTGATGACTTTCCCCCAAGGCTGTCCCCTGCATGCCTGGGTGCGGCACAACCAGAGCCTCTTGTTAAAAGGCAGTTTCTTTGGTATGTCTCATCTCCCAAAGTAAACTGGATGATGAGGTGCTCGGAAGATTAACCCTTTGCTCTGCTCCTGGTGGGGATGTTATTTCTGGAGAGCTGGTTGCAAGGCACGGAAGCGGTTGCGTGCATGTTATGGTCTGGGGAGCTTGGCCAAAAAAAAAAAAAAGAGAAAAAGGAAAACCAAAAATTTTTAACTTGGGTTTGCTCTCATGGAGGAGATTTTGTGCTGGGTGCAGGCCCCAGGGAGCAGCGAGGGGAAGATCTGGTAGGGCGGCCTCCAGATCTTTTACATCATCCTTCTGACTCCTCTGCTAAAACGCATGTTTTTTGCCCCAAAAGAAAACCGCCTGTTCCCGCTGCCTCCCGCCTGCAGCCCAGACCTGCCAGGCTCCCCGGGGCTGCGGTGCTCCGGGGGTGTTGCTCACCCAGATCTTGTCTCGCAGCCGCCCTGGATGCTGCAGTGTTTGTGTGTGATCCTTCCCACTCCCGGGGCTTTGACTTCAGCTCTTCTGATCTGAGCTTTCCCGTAGCTCCCCGCAGCTCAGATGGAAGCAGGAGTCGTCTCTTAGCAAGAGCTGAGCGGGACTCAGACCTTGTCTGGCCACGACGGCTGTACACAGCCCGATCGGAATAGCTGAAGCAGCATAACTGTGCAGCACAACTTAATCCTGCATGTGAAAACCAGAGAATAAGCTAAACCAGTAAATCACGGTGGCGGTACCAGTCTGTCTGCATCCAGGAGAAGTGCCCGGCACTGGGTCATGGTGTAAAAACCCCAGGGATGTCTTGATCCAGCTGGATGAAAGCCACGGATCGCTGTCCCTGGGTAAGGGCTCGATTGCTGACCCAAGAGCCGCACGTCGTGCTCTCGCCTTGTCCTGCCGCTGCCTGGTCTCCGCAAACTGCTTTGCCCCAGCGCCTCGGGCATCTAAAATAAAGGGGTAGGGATGAAGCCACACAGTTAATGCTTTGAGAAGCCTTTTCTTTGAGAAGCGTTGGGGCAGCGTTTGCTGTGAAAGCCTGTAAATCATTCCTCTGGCTCGCTTGCTCTGACTAATTCGAGGAGCTGCAAGTCAAGACTGTACTCGTCAGCGTGCTGCAGCATGGCAGAGCGGGAGCTGGGGAACAGCAAGGGTCTTCTCAGCACTTCAAAGGTGAAGTCAGTGACTAATGCCTGAAAAATCAGTAGTGACTCCAGATTGCTGCTGCTTTTTTTTTTTTTCCTGCCCACGATGGTGTGGGACAGCTGCCTCGCAAGGATCACAGCTGCCGGTTTCTTCTTTTTTTTTTTTTTTTCCTGCCCACGGTGGTGGGGGACAGCTGCCTCACAAGGATCACAGCTGCCGGAGACGGTGCTGCTTGCAGGCAGGGCTGCAGTAAAGCCAGAGGGTCAGGCTGGCAGAGAAGCCATCAATTACATATCGGCGCAGGGCATCATGGTGGCTGCTGCACCTTCGTTTGATTTCTGTTAGCCTGAGTGACACTGTCCATGCAGATCGAGCTAAATTGACTTGCCTTTGCCAGGCTAGAAGTTCTTTGAAGAAGCTGCGGGAAGACTTAAGTAGTAAACTTGAGAACAGACAAGGAGATAAACAGCACGCACAGGTAACGGGAGCATTTCTCGGGTGTTAAATGACGTTGACTTATTAAAAAGATGTCATCTTCGGGTCCAGAAAATGATAGAAGGGGCCTTAAAGATCGAGGCCCTTGTGGCAAATGAAAGCCACGGCGCCATTTACAGGCAAAATTCGAAACCCACACAAGCACGTAACGAGGAGTCAGTAAGCAAATCGCATTGGCTGGCCAAATGCACTGTTGCATGTTCATTGCAAAACCCCCTCGGTCTCGAGTTGCTGCGGTGCCCCAGCGCTAGCTGTCTGCATGCGACTGAGCTCTCCCGCGGGCGGCTGTGCTGGCCGGCCTCACATCCCTGTCCATCTGTCCTTTGCTCGCGCAGGTCGTGCTGGAAAAGCAGAACGGGAGCTGGCTGTACCCCGAGAGGCTGCGTGCCGATTCCTGGGAGGACCAGGTATGGAGCTAGAGGGGGATTCCAGCACTATGGAAAGAAATACCGGGTTTAGTCTGGTGTCTTCCTCCCAGCAGGCGCCTTTGAACCTGCTCAGCACGCGATCAGGTGCTCCTGCAGCGAGCTCTGGTCTCTAACAGGGTCGGATCAGAAACAGAGCGCAGCTCTATTAGAGCAACAAAAATGTGCACAATGGGTTTTAAAACCTCTGCACACAAGAGGTCTTTAGCAGAAGGGAGAACAGGAAGCTTCCGCTGATAAATATTTCTCCAGCTCTTCCGCTTTCCCCTGGCTGGGGCAGATGCCCTGGGCTGGGGTTTCGGGCTGGGTTGCTGTGGCCTGGTTCCCGTTGCGGGGTTTCAGGTTGCCCAAGCGCGGATCAGGGTGGCATCCTGCAAACAGGGCTTGGCAGGCAACCAGAGGACACCGCGCGCGTTATCTGGAGGGCTGGAAGCTGTCGCCCGAGCGTGGGAGGTGAGGACAGGAGCGCCTTTCGTATTTTCAAGCTGAGAAGTGATGTTACCAGGCTTTGTCACCAGCAGCGCTGCCCACGTTGGGGCGGAGGGCTCCTTTGATACCTCCCGACGGCTCATCCTGTCCTGTTACCGTCTCCGCAGGAGGAGGACTGCTCAGGTGAAGACGTGGAAAAGATCCGACAGACGGCAAAGAGGCTGTTCACCAAGCTGCAGGAGGCTGAAAAGCGCCATCAGTTGGAAAAGAAAGCCTTCGAGGTGACTGTGCTGCGCAATTCTCTGCTGGGAAAGTGTGATTTTTATTTTATTTTGGTATTTTTTGTATTTTGGAAGTCTGAGGAGCTGCATGGGCATGTGAGTTTGGGCTGCTGGAGGTGTCTGACTTCTCCTTGCAGAGCAGCAGGGTCGGCACGCACAGTTAAAATGCACTGGGGAGGCCAGACCTGGCCAAACCCCGGCAAACTGCCTCCCTCCCTGGTTGCCCCGATGAGTCTGACGATGTAATCGCTTTCCCAGTTAAGAAGCACATAAAATAAGAGTGGCAGCGAGGCTGGCAGGTGGTCCCCCCTACCTCTGCCAAGCCTTTCCGACCGTAGCCAGTGAGAGGGGGGTTCTGTGGGGCGCAAGGACGGCTGGGGCATCCCAGCAGGGTGAGTGGGGACCGAGCCTGTGATTCCCCACCACAGTGTGGGGCTGCTGCGGCCACGCTGCCCGTTGTGGCATCCCATGGGGCTCAGCCTCTTCATCTGTGGGGCTGTTTGCCGCAGAGAAGGCCGAGCTGACCGGGAGGCACCCGCGCCCATTGCGTGGGTCTCCCTCCTCACCTGCCGAGCGGTGCTGACGAAGCTGCCACGTTCGCTTCCCTCCCTTCCTCGGCCCTGGTGATTAATGGTCCCCTTCGGTGTGTTTTCTAGTGACTGCTCATGTCCTGGCTGGGCTGGGCCTGACCGCGTCACCCCGCAGCTCCGAGTGCTGGTGGCAGCGGTGACGTCCCGGCTCGCATCCTGTCCCGCAGACCAAACTGGTCCTGGGAGCCCTGGGGGGTTCCCCGCAGTGGGACGGGGGACGGCATCCGCTGGGGAAGTGGGTTTGAGCGGCGACCGCTTCCTCCGGCACGGGGCTATCCGCCGGCCCGCAGCTGTGGCACGCGCCCTGAGGACGTCTGTCCTTGCGCCTAGGAAGTCGTGTGGTTTGGTGGCATTTTGGGGTCTTTGGTCAGCTGTGATGCTGCTGGCGGGCTCCGAGCCTGGACGGAGATCCCAGGGATGGCAGGGGTGGGAGTCTGATGTTGTTGATCCTGCCAGCACTGCCTAGATGTTCTCGATGTGGCTTGTTGTCTGAGCCTGTCTTGGGGACCCACGGACACCCTGGTCCCCTCTCAGCCCCTGAGCCGTTGGTGCAGGCGAGGGGCTGGCCGCCGAGGTCGGTTCCCTGGGCAGCCTGCAAACAGCCCCAGCGCGTGTGGCTGGGAACGAACATGTCTCTTGCATTTGAGGAGTCTTTGTTGCTCCAGCACTTAAATGCTCGCTCCTTTGAAGTGCTTTGAAGCTGGGGAGCTTTCTGAAGAACCTCTTCTCTCTGAAGCACGTCGGGCTGTTTGCTGAGACGCCCGGCTGCCTTCAGCAAAATCTGCCTGCCAAGGCTTCGAGCACCGGTGTGGCTGCGAAGCATTGCTCAGGAGAAGGGCTCGGGTGTCCGGGCACGCGAGGGTCGGGGGTAAAGGCTTCTCCATCTTGTTTGCAGAGGACGATCTCGCAGTACCAGGAGGAAGCGGAGCAGACGAGCTCTGCGCTGCGGAGAGCGGAGAAGAGCGTGGTGGAGAAGGAGGTGCAGGTGGATGAGCTGCAGAGACTCCTGGCAGGGATGGAGAAGGTACCGGCCCTGAAGCCGTGGTGGGGCTGATGGGATCAGCGGAGCTGCCTGGTCCCACTCTGCCGGGGGTGGAGTGGGGAAGCCCGGTGGTGATGAGTTTGGCAGTGCTCAGCGCAGACCCCGCAGCAGGTCTGGACCCCACCGTGTGGAGGATTCGACTCCCCAACCAGGTTTAACCTGAAAGCATCGGGCAAAGCCAGCTGCTGGGAACGGCTGAAAATCGCCTGTTGCTGATTTAGACTTGCATTTCTCAGGGCCAGAAGATCTGGTCGGTCTGTGCAAACTCTTCCAGGTTCCCTGGAAACGAGCACGCAGTCTAGACAGCCGCCCGGTTCTTCTTCTCATGGGGGCATTAGCACCACCTCCAGCCTTGATTATTTTTTTTGTAAGCTGTAGTCTGCTCATAATACTATTAAAGTCATAAATCTAACAGTGCAGTATGAGCACGAAGTGATCTGGGCCTGCGTTCCCTGGCCCGACAGCAGGGAGGGAGGCGGGCTGGTGCCTTGCCTGTGTCCTAGGGGTAAAGGAGTGGGACGTCTGCTGTCGGTCATCTCTGCGGCTGCCTTTGCCTGTCTGTCTCTCACATGTAAATGTAACGCTCGTGCAAACAACCCGCAGATTGAGCGGGGAGGCTGAGCTGAGCATGCCTGGCTCCCCAGGTGTTTGTAGTTCGCTGCTGTGCAGCGGAGGCCAAGGAGCATGTGTTGCGACTTGTTGCCATGTGTGTAACTCGGCCTCTTGCTCTGCTGCAGGAGCACAGGAGTTTGCTGCTGAAGATGAAAGAAGGCGAAGCAGAGCTGGCGAGGCTGAGAAGCGTGGAAGGTGACAAGCTCGCCGAACAAGACCGGTGAGGCTTGGCCTCCGGCTCGGCTGCCAACTCCGGAGCAAGCCCACGCCGCTGGGTCGGGGTGTCAGCTCGCTGGGGCATGACTGCACATTCCTGCGAAGGGCGTGCTTGCTCTCTGGCTTGCAAAAAAGCACCCTGCTCCCCAGGGCTGAACAATC